CGATTTTATGACTTTTTTTTTGGTTCCGGTGTATCAGAGAATAGTCGTCGCCAGATGCATCAGGAAGTGGAGACGGTGAAAGATCGACCGGAGAAGAAAGAGCGGGATCCAGAATCGTTGAATCGGAATAAGAGGAGAAGAAGCGAGAGGTTCGTGACGAGGAACGAGAGAGCTGTAGAAGAAGATAGCTCAGATGAGAGTCGGGAAGACGACCATGTTCAGCATAGGAAGAGCTTCCCGTCGGGTCGTATCCCTAGGCATGCGGCGGCTTTCAAGGTCGCCGATGAAATGATCGGTGTACCTGTCCCGAGAAAAGCTCGCTCAGGTTGGAGCTCCATTTTTGTTTTGTATTATTTTTCTGATTGAACTCGGATTTTCGAGATCTCTTCCTGAGACTTTCGTTCCTCTTTGTTTTATCCGGTGGTTGCAGCATGTATAAAGAGGTCTCATGACTGCCGGACTTCGTCGGGAAGCGGTGGCGGAGGATTTGGAGAAGATCACCGAAGACATCCAGCTTCGCCGGGAAGCTACAGCTTTGAAGTTGCTTCACCGACTTCATCAACTGTTTCCGTCAAGCAGAAGAAGGTCCGTTTACTGACAAAAATGGTTTTGGGTCAAAGTTGGGAATACTAATTTTTCTTTCTTTCCCGATAATTCATAGAGTCTAAACGGATCTAAATCCCGGATACCGAAGCCACCGAAATCCTCCGGTACGATTGAGGACGACGACTTGGAGATTGAAATAGCAGAGGTTTTATCTGGACTGAAGAAGCACCCTCTTAGCTTAAAGAGAGAAGACGATTCGAAGAATTCTCTGAAATCATCCGAGTTTAAAGGTATTATTAGTACCCTTCTTTGAGCTCGTTTCGTACCTGGATCTGGATATTTCTTGGTGATTATCTGGAGTTTAACGAATAAAAACATGGCTGCTTGATTTGCAGGTGCGAAGAAGTTGCAAACGGAAGCGAGAATCGAAACTGGGTACTCAGCGAACATTGATAAATCGACGGAAAGCCCAGAGATTTCACTTGGGTTGATCCCGGAAACTCCTTGCTTATTGAATGGCGTTGAGGAAAAACAAAGGCTAGATTCAAAAGGGTAAATAGATCAACAATAAGATTTTTGTGTCTCTATCTGTCTTTCCTCTTTTAATCATGTCTGGAAATCTGATGTCTGTTTTTCTATTTTTGGGTCTCCAGTGTATTGGATGGTCCACAGTTGGAAAACAACAGAGATGAGAGTAATTGTACTAGTAAGCTCGAGTTTGATCTGATGGTGAGAAATCTAGCCGTTTAAGATTTTAGCTATCGAGAATCTGAAAATGCTGAAAATATACTAAAGGTCACTGTCCTGTGTCAACAGGTTCCTCCAACAATGCCTTCCTCGCCACAAAGAGTTTCTCTTCTTCCACTGGCTTCTGATTCCATTGTTACGAAAGATTATTGCAAGGCAAGTGTGGATTTAGTTACGTGTTCTTGTTAAGCATGTCCCCAATTGGTGGTTTATAACAATGTTTCTGTTTACTTAATGCAGGGAGATAGTTCGGTAAAGAGCAAAGAGAAAGTTATTGCCAAGAATGAGATGGCTACAGAAGAATTCAAACAGGAGAAGGTTGAGAAACTAGAATGGTTGAATCTTGATCTTGAGAGACCAAGCCAGGAGACAGGTAGAGATGCTAGCCTAAGATTAGAAAATTTGGGTTGGAGCCAACCTCAGCAGGTTATATCTGGTAATCAACCTTGAATATGATTATGAATCACTTTCCAAACTGAAGCTTCTACAGTTGATGATTTTCTAGGATACAAATATTCTGACCAATGTTTATCTCAATTACAGCTCAGCAGAGTTCAGTCTTACCTTTGCCTGTAGCTGTAGAAGGCTGGACTAGTGGGCTTCCTCCTCAGGGGTTAGTTCTGAAAGCTCTCATCTGTCTTTTAGGTTGTCTTGTGCTAGCTTAATGTTCAGACCCTTAAAAAGATTTTTTTGTTGGGCAGATATGTGCCCCGGATCCAGTCCGGCAACCCTGTGGATGGGAGCTATGGATCTTCTACATTAGTGCAGGTATATTCTGTTGTAGTTTTATTTGTTCTTCATAATGATGATCATATCTTCTACTGGTTAGGACCATGATTTGTTAACAAATGCAGGCTGCTCCGTTTTCTGCCTCTCAGCCTAGGCCTAAAAGGTGTGCCACACACTTTTTCATTGCCCGGAACATTCAGCTACATCAGCACTTCCTCAAAACAAACCATCCCTCTACACCAAACAAAGGTTCTGTTGATCTGAAAGGTGGTGACTTGAGGCCAGCCGCTGGAAACTCATCCATGCAAGGAAGCTCTCTCAGTTTAAACTCTCAGGCACAAGAAGGAATCCCAGTTAATATTTCTGCGCCTAAGGATAAAGCCTCTGGAAGTGGTCATTTTGCCTCAACCAGGCAAAAGAAATCTCAACCACCCACTGCATCTAGTAATTTAGTGGTATGTACTTCTTTGGCTTTTTATCTTGTCACAAATTTGTGTTTATCGTATTGGATTTATTGAAACTGCAAAAGTGCTTTCTAGCTGTCTCCCGAATAAGATAATTTTCTCTCTTAATGCAGCCTGCTCCAGCTTTCATCTTCCCCACAAACTACCATTTCCAACCGGTCATGGTACCTTCTCAATCAGCTCACCCAACAAAGAGTCCATGTGTGGCTGTTGGCTCAGCATCCGTCAACTTTAGCCATCCAAGTTTAGCAGCCAGCGAAGCTTCTTCTCCATACTTTACAGTTATTCCAAACAATGCTTATTCCTTTCAACTGTCATCAACTGTCAGAGGCGGAACTCCAAGCCAAGGGTTGCCTTTCTACAATGGATCCTATTATTCGCCGCAGATGTTCCAACCTGCTCAGCTTCTACAGAAACAGACTCCAGTCCAGAGGGAGTCAAAGGCAGCAAGCTGTTCCTCATCGTCCCACAGGCAGCTGCAACCACAAGTTAGTGTGAATAGTCTTCCAAGCCAAGCTAATGTCCAGAAACACCGTCAACAGTTACAAAAGTCTGAGGCTAAAGCAGCTGGAGAAAACTCTGATTCAAGGGGTAGCCACACTGAGAAAGGAGGCCCGTATGGCCAGACCATGACAGCTTCTGTTCAGCCACAAAACTTTTCCATGTCGTTTGCGTCTTTTCCCAGTGGTGGTGCTGCCCCTGGAAATCTGAATTTCTCCTCTAATGGCTACCATATGGTATCTGAACCTCCTGTTGTTCACCAGAAAAACTATCAAGCAAGTGACTCAAAGACAGGAGGTGGAAGTTGCTCAAGCAATGCCAAGGATCCGAGAAAGACTCTTTCCGGGAAGCCTCCAGCTATGATGAATGGACAGACACTGGTTTTTGACAATCCATCGAGAACTCTCAACTTTGTTTCTGGTACTTGGCCTCCTCCTGCACTAACAACAACAAATGGAGACCCTTCAGTGTTTACTCATCATCTTACACAGAGGCAGCAGCAATCTGGTCGGAGTAAAATGATGGCTCATTCTCAGGCTGACTCTGTTCCTGCCTCGTCGTCCCAGTGGAAAAACCCTGCAACCTCATCACTCACGTCGTGCAATTCCGTAAACCTAAAGCAGTTTCAGTCGCAGCATCAGATTTCTTTTGCAGTACCATCGAAGTCGCAACCTTCTCAGGGGCAACAGGGGAGAACTGGCGGCTCTTTTTCTTCGGTCACAGGGTCTGCTCCACCTGTCAAAGCAGCAAACTCTAAGCTCAACAATAGTAAAGCCTTGCCATTATCACCTGTTCCCTCTTCATCTGCACACGCACAGGACCAGACTGAAAATTCAGCTTCCGGCTCAACCCAAAAAACCTCTCCAGTATGTGGGAGGAACGTGCCACCGATCATAACTTCATGCACAGGTCATCTGTCTGAGCTAAAGTACTAGTTTCATCGAAGCAGACGTATAAAGTCACCATTTTTGCAGTTGTCTAGCTTCAGGTTTAAGCTATACCCAGATGAGGTACTACCTTATTATGGTTAGTAAAAAGTAACTCTTCACTAGGGAGTTAAGTAAAAAGTAACTCCTCTCTAGGGAGTTAAGTAAAAAGTAACTCTTCTCTAGGGAGTGAACACTTTGGGCTGGTATCTTTATAANGTTTCTAAATTGTTCGATGTTTATGGGGTTGATTTTCTTTCATTATGATTGGTCTAGTGTACATATTTAGACTAACAAAACCCATCCCCCAAGCAATTTATTTCAAATACATTCCTCAATATTGTTATTATCATGCCGTATATATAGAGAATCCGATAACAAAGGCCAAACTTGGTTTTATTATTGTTTGTTTTTCTTCTGCTGGATCTCTCTGAGCTACACGTCGGCAAGAGAAGCCACATTGTCTAGAAAATCTTCTCTTGCATTCTTATCAAACGGTTCTTCACCAATGTACAAGTCTAAGATTGACCTACACAAGAGTTTGCTCTTCACACTCCCGACGTGGTTTCCCTCAACTGGAAAAAAAAAAACAAAAGGAAGAGTTTTAGACACTCCGGAGACAATTTACTTCAGAATAGCGAAACGGATGGATACTTACTTGCTACGCTGAGTACATAGCCTGGTTCTTGTGTCAGATCAATGATGGAACTTCTTGGAATTTTGAACTCATCTTTGAACAGGCTAGTGAAGCTACAAGTGAGACACCAAAGTAAAATGATTTCAGCAGCTAAACACAATCAAATCGTTTAGCTCGAATACGTGTGTTCAGTTACCTTTGAAGCAACTCATCGTTCTCTAAGCCACCGAACTTCTTGAGCCTGTTTCCGACAGATTCTTGGAAAGCATTGCGCACGGATCGGATGTTGAGTTTGCTGTACACAATCTGCAGCCTTATAGTCATCTTTATATCGGCTTCCATGAGATCATCCACGAATGCCTTGTTTTCCCTGAGCTCCGAAGCTGGAAGATTTGCGTATTTCTCACCCACAAGTTTCTTCACATCGTCACAATCAGCATACATGCCTGTCCGATACAGATCCATAAAAAAGCTCATCAATCAATTGCATGCAAAGGACTCTTCGAAACATAAATTTTCTAATGCAATGATGAAACCAATTCGTAATAACAAAATGTAATCTTGATTTCGGACACTTCCATGTAAAAGCTCTTCCACCAATCCCTTATTCGTATGCGCAAATCTACCAATTTGAATATATCTCAAATGGACT